GTGTAAAAAAAATAAAATAAGGCCCAATTAATTTTTACCTATTATATAACAGTCTCATTTACATTATCATACGTAACTACGCCTGCGAAACATTTTTCCACTCCGTATTATTTATATACTGTATATGTAGTAAATAAGCCAAAATGGAATTGTACGAGTGATTAATAATACTTAGTTCGGTATTAATAACTAGAAAGAATTGTACAATGTATACCCACAATTGAAAACAAGATATTTAATTTGGTGTCCTATTCATATTCAAAACAGGACTATTTTCCATCGTAATTCGACGACGCTTTCCCAACATATTACTTCGATACAATTCTTTCACTGATTTTTCGGTTTGTAATAATTTTACCTGCACAAAAATTACTGTATATTAAACAAACAATTCATGGGTTAATTGTAGCAGTAAGATAAAATAACATACGTTAAGCTCCTTTAGTATACAATATATATCTTCAAAAAGCCCACAATCGTCTTCTTGGGACGGTAATATACAGTGATCGAGTAGGCCGAACCTGTACAAACCTCCGAACCAGTTCATTGCGTAAAAATTCAGTTCAAACCCTGTGTTGAATAAACTGTATCAATTAGTAAGCCAGATAAACAAACTGTATATTAGTTTATGTGAATATTAACATACCCACTTGGAGCCATCCGTAGACTACCAAACTTTTTCTTTGATTGTCATCTACATGTCGGCATCCTTTCAACGCATAATTAAGAGAGTCCCGCATCATAATACTAAGCTTCACTTTATCTAAATATCGTTTTTTACGGGGTGAAGAAGAAATGCCTAGTGATGTCATACCACCAGATACTTCGCCGAAAAGAGCTTCGAATTTATTTGGAGTATTTTTTAGCGTTCCCTTCATGTCGACTTTTCGTCCTAAACGTGTTCTCAGGAAAGGGCTCGAGTTTTCATTCCTTGCGTCTTTCGTGCTATATACCTGAATTTCGCCCCTATACATAAAAAATTAAATTTTTTCTATTATTCCGTTATGAGACAAATACGGCATAACTTACCATGCGTCCTTAACTACGTTACGTTGAAGAATAGAGCGAAAAAGTGGGAAGGCAGAAATCATTTTCAATTCTTCCTCGGTCATGGAGTCGTTAAACGGGTCCATATTTTCTTTTCTTTATGATAAAAAGAAGTAAGACGTCTCGTTAAACAATTTAGAGAATATTGCGCAGACACTTATAATAAACCAATACTTACATGAATTGGATGTTTGTGTGAAGTTTTTTTATGTCCTTTATTTGATGAATTTCTTCACAGTTCTTATTAAAATATTCTTGAAGATAATTCGGTGCCGACTTTGGATCCCAAGAAATAGTATTTGAAAAGTCTTGTGATAAGTCCTGAATATCTTTCTCTGAAAATTCTTTGCATCCATTCAGACTCTCTCGAGTTAGATCCAATATACCCCAATATGCTGGTCTAATAGACGATCAATAAGGTATAAGTACAAAGACCAGATCGATATCATATGTTAAATCAGTAAAAACTTACGTAGTAACTCGACGGCACTTTGGGATACTCTTTTGATATTTTTTAAACATGGTTAATAAGTCGCTACCGTTTGACAGTTTGTATTCGGATATATTATCAGATGTTTTTGAGATCGGTAGCCTCGTTTCACTTATTAACCTGCTTTCATCGATGCTTTCTATAAGGGAGTCTTCATTTTTTTCATCAAACAATATACTGCTACATTCTTCCTCTTCTTCACAATCTTTCCTTTTATTCGATGTTTTGTTCTGAATGTATATAAAAACGAAGTAGTTAGATATATCGAATTATTGATTAAAAGTAAATGTCCCACTTTTTTGAAGAGAAACTCATATTCGCACCTTTTCATCACCTTTCCTTTGGTTGTCTAATTCATCTCGTTCTTCCTGGGGAACTTCCTCGTGATCATTTTCATTTTGTGTGAATTCATCATTCAAATTACGCCTTTTTCTTGTCGATGTTTGAACATGAGGCTCATTTTCAAAAGTTTTCAGCTGTCTGGTAAGTGTAGTCCGTACAGCTTGATCTCGAACGACTGCTGTTCTTATAACCTCATTATGTTGCTCGGCCTGTAAAGGAACGAAGAAAAGAAGTAAATGCCGCACATGTATATTTCGTTACATAAATAAATCTAGAGATTACCATTAGGATATCACGTTCGAAATTCAGCTCTTGCATCCTGCTATTTTTCTTTGCATCTTTGGTCCATTCCTAGGCAATATATATTTTCAGAAAATGGAATGTTTAGCAATTTGCGGTCGGTTTTGTCTTTAATTAAATGTTCGCTGCTAGTGTCAATAGCAATAACGTTGTTTTCATGCTAAATCAAAAAATCAGGATAAAAGTTTCTCGTTTGAGGGAGAATGTCGAACCAAGAGTTCATCACCGATCGACCAAGAGTGGAACGGCTTTGCAGGAACCAAGAGTTCATAACCAAATAACCAAGAGTTGTTCAGCTTCTGCCAAGTTAGAGTAGGTACGAACCAAGAGTTCATCACCGATCGACCAAGAGTGTACAGCTTGACCTACTCTAACCTTCTCCCTTTTCATTGGTTTTTTTTTTCCCCGTAAACATACCTTCCAGTTGACGATTATAGACTCTGCTTTTTCTCTACATTTTGCATCAGAGCCATGTTTTGCAATTCGTTTGAGATCTTTATTGATCGAATCGAGTGCTTGCTTGAGAGTAAGCTGTGAATCATTTTCTTTATAATGATTTAAGACATTCTCGCATGTCCATTGACCGACGTTTTTTTCAAGAAAATCCATACTGCATTAAAGAAAAGGAGTTATTTTACATATGTATACAGTTTACGCGTCGCGAGCTGGTATAGAGAAAAAGGGTAGACCGTGACCTTAAGCCACACAAACTACAATAACGGACACATGATGAAACTAAATCACGTGTCTGTAAAAAGGTCTAATAATAATAATAAATGTAAGAATGAGTTTTACATGTATTAATTCGAAAAGTGAAACTGAAATTAAAACTCAATATCAAGCAACCGTCGAATAGCCATTAATTATTGGCAATTGAACTGTCCAAGTCTTGCAGAATCCGTCACAATTATTGTTATTATGACAAGTTAAATTTTCGCGATGACGTGTTTTACTTACACAAACATGTGATACTTCTCTGTACACTTTCATAGGTTCAGTAAAATAATCATGCCTTTGTGAATACAAAGACAAAGCGCTTTCTTTGCATATCACGTTATGAAACAATTAACAGATGTTGTAAATTGTTGTATTGTATTCTCAATGGACATGCTGCGTAATGCAAGGATGATTGCTTCTGTTTTTGGAAGTGAAATAATTGTCTTATGTATTGTGTAGACTCGTTATTGAGAACTCTGTTGTCATATTAAGAGTCTTAGGGATAACTGGCAATCGAGCGCTTTTTTGTTTTCAGAAGTTCGAATGTGAATTGCAAAAATCAACCACTTTGGTAAATAAAAAGTCCGGGTCCAACTCAGATTTCGTATCAAAGAATTTTTTAAAATCTTTCCATAGATTTTCGACGTCTTCTGCGTATTTTCGTTCGCTGGGCAGCTTGCTGGATTTAGATTTGATTTTGATTTTGTTTAATTCGACTGCTTGAATTGCTATTTCAAGCTTTTGATTTATATTGCAGAGTTGAATGTATGTTTTATAATGGAGCAAATGACCAACGACAAGTCCTATCAACAGCCATTCAATAGTGGAAAGAAACATTTTGATTATCAGTTATTTGCTTTTTTATAAAATGACTTGTTTCGGTATTGACGTTGGAAAGATTTTTTAAAGCAAAATTGAATCTGTTTTTATAATAAATTCTCGGTTTCATCAAAATTGCGAATATTCATCATCTTTATTATTTAACGTATATTTAATATTTTGCATCGATTTGATTTATCAAAATCGTGACGTAATCGGCAAATTTGGAAGGTATCAGTATAGTTTTGGTTAGTCTTCTGCTGCCAAAAGCGGGGCCATTCTTCCTATAACTTAAGTTATAATATTAAGTATAAGTCTAAGTATAAACATTAAATCATTATCCATACCGAATGACGTGCATATTCAAGACACTGGATCATGCGTTAACAAATATCGTGAACATATTTTTTGAAAAAAACCAACGATTATTCTTACGTAACGCAAAACTATTCGCCAACGGCGGGCAGGCTACACCCTCACCTCTAGTTAAACATAATTACGATTGCTTATTTTGATTTGCTGATCAAACAAGTCATCGTCTCTTAAAGTTTGGTCCGGCTGCCCTTCTAATGATTTATTTTCGCGATCCGCTTTTATTACTTTCCATATTTATCATTGTTTCTAACACGATAAAAGGTTGCTACTCATAAATTGTGTCAGAGTTGTAGTACTTGGAGCACAACAAACCAAATTTATTGTTATTTTTACTGAGCAGCTTATAAAAAATCGTGGAATTATTAGCAATTGTAAAGAAACAGATATTTGCTTTATGTTTCTAGTTTTCGTTTCTTTCTTGGTTCATTATAAGTTGGTGGTAGTGCTCGTTTAAGGCTTACTATTTTCCGTTCTTCTTGATAAATTTCATAAGTGATTTTTTCTTGATCTAGATATTCCTGGAGAGTTTGGCTGTCATTTATTTTAAAAACATATGGAGCAATTTTTTCTCCTTGCTCTTTCTTTAGAATACTTCTAATGGTGCTGTAATTCTTGGGTTCCATGGTGGATTTGATGTAAATTAGTTTCATATACTACTAATAAACAGTCTTATGGGCTTTTATTCTCTTCTTCTGCATGTATGTAGATAGATAAAAACAGCTTAAACTGGGCTTTAGCAAGCACCTCGTTGTGAATAAAAGTTCCTCGCGATAGTTACTAAACTTAAACTTTTCATGCATGATGTAATCGTACGACCTGATTGTTACTATAAATTCTGTGATTCGCATATTTCTTACCCATCGTTATTATTTGATCATTAAATTAATCACCGCTTCTTCAACTATACAATATGAGTAACTCTACCTTCCCCACTTTCAATGTATCTTCGTCTGAAACAGACATGGACGATAGTCGAGGTAAGTCGATTTTTTTTTTTGTTTACTAATTTATGAATAAAAAAGGTTTTTATGAATACTCCTTTTTTTCTAGATTTGGAGACAAATCAATGTAATGGTGCAGGAATACGGAGAGCAAGACCTTTACAACATGTTTTTCCTTCCTTACAGGTACTTCTCAACGGGTTTATTATTTCTTATAAAAA